AAGAGGAAGCAGCCTCAAGTTGCACCAGGGGAGGTTCAGGTTGGGTATAAAGAAAAATTTCTTCTCAGTAAGAGCAATGAGGCACTGGAATAGGCTGCCCAGAGAGGTAGTGGAGTCACCGTCCCTGGAGGTGTCCAAGAACTGTGTGGATGAAGCACTGAAGGACATGGTTAGTGGACATGGTGAGGCATGGTGGTGATGGGCTGATCGTTAGATGAGGTGATCTTGGTGGTCTTTTCCAACCTTAATGATTCTATGATTCATACAGCAGCATCCTGGTTTAACCCTAGGTAGAAGTTAAGATAGGGTTGAAAACGTGTACTTGTGTTTTAAAGGCTACCGCCAGGCTCCTTTTCAAGGATGAGTTAAGTAGACCCATTGTCCTGTCTTTACTGCATCATGAAGTTAAACAGCCCCATGATCTATGAACTTGAATCACATAGTTAATTACCCCACGCCCCCTCCCTAGTCCCCTTCCCACCCCCCTTTGCTCTTGGAATACATTATATTTCTTTGACAGTCTGCCGAGAACAATGTCTGCTTTTGTGACAGTGACATTGCCAGTGGTGTAAAAATCTATGCATCTGTCAGGTTTCCCCATGTGAAACATAATTGCTTAATTTCCATTTGAAAGTACATCCCTGACATTAGAACAACGTAGACACACCAACGATAACAGTGATTTCCTGACACCTAGAATGGGGCATAATGCGGTAATAAATAAGTGCGCAGAATGAATGCTCTGCACACAGAGGGAGCAGGTCTGAATTTACAGCTGCAGATTAAGTGTTCCTCAGGAAAAAAAATAAAATAAAATAAAATAAAGAAAAAAAAAGAAAAAACCAACAGATTAGCATCAGTGTGAGTCTATGTCAACCAGATGGCTTGCTGTGGAAAAAGAGCTTCTCTGCTTTATTCCAGTAACCCTGGCTAGCGGGCTGAATGTCTGAGATGAGAAGAGAAAAATGATCTCATTCGGGACTTTTTTTTTCCCTTTGCACACATGCAGCTTGAGCTGAAGAAGAGAAAAGCTCTGAAAAGAGCACAGAAGTTCTCCCTTAGCGGTGACGTGTGAGACCCTGTGGACCACAGAGAGCTCATGGACACAATTCAAAAATGCAGAATGCGCAGCATGAAAGCACTGCATCACAGGTGGATAGGAGGGAGCCTTGGGGACATCACCTTGAGATGGTGATGTGCTGTTCTTTTGGCTTTTCCCTCTCTCATGTAGCCCCTGACAGACCTGGAACACAGTTCATCTCCCCAGGCCCTAGTTCATAGAATTGTAGCACCATAGAATGGCTTGGATGGGAAGAGACCTCAAAGATTGCTTAGTTTCAACTCCCTGCTGTGAGCAGAGTTGGCAGCCTCTAAATCAGGCACTAAGTCAGACTGTCCAGGGCTCCATCCCAGCTGTCCTTGAATACCCTTTGGTGCAGATGGGATATCTGCTGTGGTCAGGCACATTGGCTCCAACCTGCCAATGGACATAGCAATGGAGCAAACAGGCAGTTCGTGTGGAGGCAGCTACATGAGCTGTTGCCTCGCCCTGGTCACCCTGCCTCATTTTACACATGTAATTGAATGCCTTGCTAGCTCAGTTCTCTCCAGAGTCACTGTAGACAGCAGAAGTGTATCTTCATTTGAGTGCTGACAAGGGCCTTGGTGGTGCCTCATTCCACTGATCATGGGAAGAAAAATCTCACTGCAATAAGATTCTGAACTTGACCTGGAGTCAGGCAGGATGAGCCCAAGCTCAGCTACCTGTCTTCAGGGCAGTGAATGCCCTCCCATCTTGGGGCAGGTCAGGATGCCCTCACCAGCTGCCTATCTGGGTCACACGTCACCTTCCCTGGAGCCACTGCAGGTTGACAGCTGGGGAAGGGTCCTGGAAGCAGCAACTCGAAGAAGGCCGAGTGTACTTATTTGTACAGACTTTTGAGACCCAGTACTAGATTTATTGCTGTGGCTCACTACTAAACGTCAAGAAAACTCTAGTGCGGTGGTTTCTAAGTTGGGCCATGTCATTGGACGCTGCTTTGCACAGCAGGAAATTTGGCTTGGGGTGCCTGGATTCCAGTGAGGAAAAAAAAGTGCATTTTAGTGAGGTTGTGATGAGAGCAATCCTGCAGGGAGATCGTAAAAGTAATTGGAGTGACTTGACCTGTCTTATCCGTAACAGCTGATAGATGTGAGTGTGAACCAAGGAATGGGAGATGGGAGTCCTCTTTCTCAATGGAGAAGGTGTGACGTTGTTTGACAAGGCCTGCTTCAAGGCGTCATTCACAGGGGAAGAGCTGAATCGTTATTTTTTCATTTTCTTTGTTTTAATTCTGTGCCCAGTGAAAATTTCTCACAGTAAGAAGGGAGGAGGATGTTTAACTTTGATTGGGCCCATGATAGAATTAACGTGCATGCAATATCCAGTCCTTGATTCTTTGCTTGTCTTTGGCAGTGAATGAATGTCTGTCAGTGCAAATGTCTACAAAATTACTGTTTTAATGACCTGTTTGCTTCAATTAAGGCCTGGCTATTATCTTTCCAAGAAGCGAAGGATTGGGGAGGGGGAGATGAAGCGAGAGAAAAGAGTTGATCACTGGGACGCGTGAGCAGAACATTTAAGGGGCCAGCTGAAACCGAGAGTAGATTTGGAAAGGCTGTATGATGAATCTGTGACATTGCAATATTTCAATCATCACATTTCAGATTCTGGTTCATGCATCATTTGCTATGAAAGTTTTGAGATTTTAATCAGTGTTTCAAGAGTAAATTGATACAGCCTAATCATTTAAAATCTCTGGCACGAGACCAAAGTGTATTATGTTAAGTGTATGTTATGTATTATAAAAGCTGCTTGCTGAAAATTAATTGAGTATTCCCGTGCTAGATAATGTTTCTCCGTTCCCCAGAGCCCATCCCTTTGCGTGCGAGTGTTTTCCCAAGTGCAATGCAGATGCCAGACAAAAGGTGAATATATAACATATGTAAAAGACTGGCTCAGCACAGTATCAGGCCTGCTAACCTCCTTGGCTAGATTGTATGGCTGTTTATTTGTCTGCAAGATGTGTAGGAGGAAAACTCCCGGGTACGAAATAAAAAAAGTATTTTCCATAGAAGTGAAGCATGAGAGAGCCTGTGCCGTGACTCTAATTCATATAAAAAGTTGGAAAAGTGTTTGCTTTTCTCCTCATGCCTTATGTGGACTTGGCAGAACAAGCCACCCAAGTAAATGACACAGATAGCAGCCAGTGAGTCTAGGTAATGAATGCGCTGTCATCCTGTGTACTCAAAGGCTTGGGAACTTCCCATATTCTTGTCCTTCTTTTTGTACCTGTGGCAATGCTGACAAAATGGATGTGTATGGAGATGAGGGATTGGGTACACCTCTAATGTGCCAGTGGATAGTCCCCAGCATTATTTGTGCTCTATGCTGACATTTCTGATGCAAACCATTTCTATCTGGAGGGGTTGGCTTCCCAGGGAAAATTGGGCCTCTTTTGCTAAGAGGGACTGGTTTTGGAGCCTACCCTACCTCCCTAGTGCACAGGCAATAGGTTAAAATACTTCTGGCTTAAGTTCAAATACCCCTGCTCCCTGACTCAGGGTTATGAACAGAGGCTCTCCAGCTGAATATCCCCAGTGTTAAGGCATTTTCCTCAGAACTCTGGCTGAAGCTGTTCCAATTCATATGTGTTTTTTAGCCATTCTCAATGTCTAGCATATGAAGATGTGTACCCACTGCCTGTCTCAAGTCATTCTCACACTTGCTTCCTCTTGACCACACTGAAGTGATTTTGATGAAGTGGAACATGGACATTCAGAGCATGTATCTACCCTCTTGAAATGGGTGGATCAAAGCTTTGAAGTCCATTAGTGCTAATGGATCTTGATCCAGCTTGCAGATACCTGCCCTCCTCCTATTTATTAAATAGTCTCTTGGGGAATATCATACCAGCAAACCAACTTTCGAGGGCTCTTTCCTCATTGAAAAGGCTGCTGCTGTGTCACAGTGTTATATCCCATCATCTTTATATTAGCAGCCAAAGTGAAAGGCTCTAGACTTATTTAAATAAAAAAAAGTAATAAAACCTCCTCTTTTTTCATTTTGGGGCTCAAAGTAAAAGCTCTGAATGCTTCTGTTTACCATTTTTATTACACAATATTGGCATTCGTAAACTCTGGAATGAAACCTTTTTCTTTTCTTTTCTTTTTTTTTTTTTCCATTAAAGAGCTCAGTATCAATGTTTCCTACTTTCCATGTATTATGACAAAACATTAAGCCCAGAATATCTGTTGCCATTGCTAAAGCACTGTGTTCTTGTGCGACTGGAAATCCACTCTCTTCATTGCTCCCTTTTGTACACCCTCCATAAAGCCAACTGGCTTCAGCTGTTGACAGATAATAGTGAGAACAAGAAGAGGTGTTAAAAAAAACTGCCAGGAAAGTCTCCAAGCAGAGCTCATTGTGAGCAGACCTCTCTCATTAGCTACCCCAGGAGAAAGCTCTGGTCAAGACAACGTGCCTCCGTCTCAGATGCCTGTGCTGTCCTGTGAGACTCCTCGTTCTTCTGGGCTCTGTCTGATAGAGCTGCTGCTTTGCTTCTGATTCCTGTTGTTCCAGGTTGGACGGGGTCCTGGGCAACCTGATCTAAATGTGTATGTTTGGTGGCCCTGTTAGGCAGGGGGGTTGGAACGACATGATCCTTGAGGTCCCTTCCAACCCGGGTGATTCTGTGATTCTGTGATTCTGTGATTCTGTGATTCTGTGATTC